CCCCAATCACGAGACCAAGCTCCGTATTGAGGGTCAAATAGGAATCTCGTTTATTGAGGGCTACATGCCCGGCTTTTATGCAGGTCTCCCACCTGGTGGACACTCCCCTAGGGGACCAGATGGAAGACTGGGACAAGTATAGTATAGTAGCCAATCACAGTGGCTCAGGCATAAACTCTCCCCTTTGTATGAGCAAACCCCTCCTCTCCATCCAATCCAATTATCTCCATGGATAGAGGCAACACGCCATTTTACATGAGACAATAAAATACATAAAAATCAATAACTGGAAAACTACCGAATACATTCAGTACACATAACGTATCCCCAGATACGTTATATGTCATAAGATTGTCGACGAACACCGCTGTTCATTTGTGCGTCTAAAATGGCCGGCGGCTCGTGGTCGGCATACCAACAACGACCACTCAGCATATGGTTTCAATTAAGAGGTGTCTGCGGTTAACCACAATGTTCTAATGAGGCCAAGAGGTTAACCAGCAGCACACTTCTCTTCTGGGTGGCCGGCTGTTCGGTAGTTTTGTTCGTGAATTTAAGAAATAAACGAACGGGGGAGTACGGGCAGGTAATTCCACGAATACACATGAAATAAACGAAATAGCAAGATAGTTCTCAGACAGAGGGATCTGTCACATGGCTCCCTCCTTGTGAGACACTCCGGCAGACCCGGCTTGACCCTTTGGCGGGTCAACTTGGGGATGACCGGACAAGGAGGTGGTAGGGATGTCAGTTTGCCGGGACAATCCATCGGCATTCCCGTTCTGCTTAACGGGTCGGTAGCTGATGGTGAAGTTAAAAGGTTGTAGGGCTAAACTCCACCGCAGCAGTCTACCATTGTCTCCTGAGACCTGGTTAAGCCAGACTAAGGGATTGTGGTCCGTTACGAGGAAAAGTTCTTGGCCGTATAAATAAGGGCTCGATTTCTTCAGTGCCCAGACCAGGGCTAAACACTCCTTCTCCACTGCCGCATAACTCACTTCTCGAGGTAATAACCTTCTGCTTAAGTATGCGACAGGGTGCTCTCCTCCATCTTCCCCGCCCAGGCTCAGCACAGTCCCCAGTCCATACATGGAAGCATCTGTGTGGACAAGAAAACGTTTATTAGGGACTGGGGCAACCAAGACAGGGGCATTCACAAGAGCCTGCTTCAGTGCCTGAAACGCGGCTTCACAAGCTGGAGACCACAGGACCTGCTTAGGGAGGTTATTCTTAGTCAAAGCAGAATACTTGGATGTATAGGGAGAGGTTGTGACGGAACGCTGGCACTCCGACTGAGTACCTCCGCCAATCGATGCTCCTAGTGCTCGCTGAGGACTCCAAGCACTCCAACCGACACCATCAGCACTGCAGACCCCACTTCCAGCGATGTAACTGCGCCGGGGTCTCTGCTGTTTCCACCCACCCTGGACCCAAGGCCAGGATCCAGCTTCCAGTGGGTGAACCTCTCTTTCCCCAGAGAGCAGGAACAGGAACAAATCAAGCTATTGCAAGAGCTTCCTCTGGGGAGTAAGTGATTATAGCAATCCCCAGAGTGTAGGTATCCCTTCCCCCAAACATGAGCCAAGGCTTAATGCTGGAACAAGACTGATTTACTGGCACACAGAACTCACAATTTATGCAACACAAAACTCCTCCTCTGGGCCAGGCTAGATAATTGAGTTTCTGCAATACACAAAGCTCAATTATCTGCTGGCCAGAAATAATACAGTTTCATAAAACACACAGGGACCCCAAAACATGCAATAACCCCATAAAAATCCGTTCAGTACTTTGGAAAATACAGTTTAATGCAGATTCTGCAGAACATATACAGGCTAAATGAAAAACAATCACTTTATAATGTGTCCCCTGCTGTATAGTCCAAAACCACTGCACGATGTCTCTGTGCACCAAATACTGGCAAGATGGCACCGTGTTGAAAATTCCAAACAGTGTCTGTGAGTTAAAATGGCCGCCATCCATTGTTCTCACCATGTGCTCCTGATACAGGAAATGGTGGCCACCCAGTAACTCCACAGTATGTCCCCAGATGGTTCTTAAAGGGCCAGCAGCAGCACAACACAAATCCATTATGCCCAAATCATGTCTTTAAAGGGCAATACAAACCAGGGGCCATAGTCACAGGGCAAGAGGCGGGCAAGCAGTCCTCTCCAGGCACAAGTGGCGAAGGGCACTTCGTCACAGAGGTATTAGCAGTAGAAAGAGGGAAGTGTTCATGCCATTATACAGAACACTGGTGAGACCTCACTTGGAGTATTGTACACAGTACTGGAGACCGTATCTTCAGAAGGATATTGATACCTTAGAGAAGGTTCAGAGAAGGGCTACTAAACTGGTTCATGGATTGCGGGATAAAACTTACCAGGAAAGGTTAAAGGATCTTAACATGTATAGCTTGGAGGAAAGACGAGACAGGGGGGATATGATAGAAACATTTAAATACATAAAGGGAATCAACACAGTAAAGGAGGAGAATATATTAAAAAGAAGAAAAACTACCACAATAAGAGGACATATTCTTAAATTAGAGGGACAAAGGTTTATAAATAATATCAGGAAGTATTACTTTACTGAGAGGGTAGTGGATGCATGGAATAGCCTTCCAGTTGAAGTGGTAGAGGTTAACACAGTAAAGGAGTTTAAGCATGCGTGGGATAGGCATAAGGCTATCCTAACTATAAGAAAAGGCTAGGGACTAATGAAAGTATTTAGAAAATTGGGCAGACTAGATGGGCCAAATGGTTCTTATCTGCCGTCACATTCTATGTTTCTAGGTCAGTCAGGGGCTTGGCGATAGTGCTGTAGTCAGGGACAAAGCGTCGGTAGTACCCTGCTGTCTCCAAGAAGGCTAACACCTGGGTCTTAGTGATAGGTGTGGGCCAGTTAGCCACTGCCTCTACCTTGGCTGGCTCTGGTCTCTGGCTCCCACACCCCACTCTGTGACCCAGGTACTGTACTTCAGCCATGCCTAGATGGCACTTGTCTAGTTTCAAGGTCAGGCCAGCGGCCCGAATCTTGTCCAGAACCACCCCTACATGGACTAGGTGTTGCTCCCAGGACTCACTGTAGACCGCAATGTCATCCAGGTATGCACAAGCAAATTCCTGGAAGCCATCGAGGAGTCTATCCACCATACGCTGGAAGGTAGCCGGGGCATTCTTCATCCCGAATGGCATGACTCTAAATTGGTAGAGGCCAAACAGGGTGACAAATGCCAACTTGGGGATAGCATCCTCGGCCAGGGGAATCTGCCAATAACCTTTACACAGGTCTATGGTAGTCAGATAACGTCCCCTGGCAACACGGTCTAGTAATTCGTCTACCCGGGGCATTGGGTAGGCATCAGTGGTGGTCCTCTCGTTGAGCCGCGTGTAGTCCACACAGAACCAGGTGGTCCCATATTTCTTAGGTACCAGGACTACAGGCGAAGCCCAAGGGCTATCGGAGTGTTCGATGACTCCCAGCCGAGTCATTTCCTGTATCTCCTTCCGCGTTCCTTCTCGGACTGCTTCAGGGATACCGTAGGGGGCCTGTCAAAGGGGATTCTACCTTATGTACAGCTAGGGTAGTGTAACCGGGCCCTTGGGAGAACGCCGCCTGCTTCTCCCACAGAAGCTGTCTTGCCTGTACCTTCTCTGCGGTCCCCTAACTGTACAAGACTAGTAAGGTCAGTCTGGGGGTCCCTCTCTAATAAATCGTGAAGTGGTAAATTCTCTGAGTCGTCTGCAGCAGGGGCACACACTGCAGCGACATCCTCTGGTCTCTCCTGATACTCCTTCAGCATGTTCACATGAAAGGATCGCTGGATCCTTTCATTTGCACAGCTAGCTATAATATAGGTAGTATCACATACCTGGGCTAACACTTTATATGGGCCCTGCCAAGATGCTTGCATCTTGTTCGTCTTCACAGGCTTGAGTACCAAAACCTTCTGCCCAACCTTGAAGACCCGCTGCCGGGCAACCCGATTGTAACGGATCACCTAGCACCCCGACTGGGTACCTCCGTTGAAGGATGCTCCTAGCGCTTCCTGAGGACTCCAAGCACTGCAGCAGACACCACAACCACCGAACCGGAGAAGCATATGAATGATCTCAAGCATATGAATGTTGTATACAGCTGAATAGGAAAAACCATGCGAATAGGTTTACACTCCTAGCAGTCAAACTGGAACAGCATACAATAAATCCTCCCCCAATAATGAGACGACACTTCACTTTGAGGGTTAAGCAGGAACTGACTGGACTGGCACATACAGCCTCTTTTATTCCCAATCCACAAACTTAGTACTGCCCACAGGGTTTTACAGAACAACCAATAAACACATTACAACACATACAATGCAAGTACAGCATCCAATCAGACACAATGGGACAACAGAAACACACCCATCATATTCCTCCCCTCTGCTTAGGAGATAATTGAGTCAATGACTGTATCTACTCAATTATCTCCAAGCTGAAAAGCTTTTATAGCTTTGTGAGCTTACATCACATACGAATAAAACTTATATTTCTGTGATCAGCATAACTTGGGGAGCAACATATGTAAAAAATCACATGAATCCGTCCAGGGAAGAAAAAGTGTCCAAAAAGTTTCCATGTGTCCATACACTGTTTTTAAAAGGACCAGCACTGTACAATAAAAGTCCATAAGCCCAGATCAGTTCTTAAAGGGCAATACATCCCAGGGCCATAGTCGCAGGGCAGGAGGCTAGCAATCAGTCCTCTCCAATGCCCAGTGGCGAGGTCGATTTCGCCACACCGATCGTACCACCTCTTCAGTCTCCTCTGGCCCGCCACATACGGCACTATGGGGGTCCCCTCTTGCTCTGTCTCCCCCTCCCAGTGTCCTAATGAGGTACAGGGGTCCACGGACCCTTTTCCCATAGAGTAACTCAAAGGGGAGAACCCAGTGGATTCCTGGGACACCTCTCTGTATGCAAATAGCAGATGAGGCAGGAATCGCTCCCAGTCTCTGTGTCAGTAAAGGTCCTCAGCAACTGCTTGAGGGTGCCATTAAAACGCTTGCAGAGACTGTTAGTCTGGGGGTGGTAAGGCGAACTGAGCAGCGGTTTAATGCTGCACACCTTCCACAGCTGCTGGGTGAGCACAGCGGTAAACTGGGTTCCCTGATCGGAGAGAATCTCCTTAGGGAACCCTACCCTAGTAAAAACCTTAACCAGGGCATCAGCTACTGTCTCTGCCTCTATATTAGACAGCGCTATTGCCTCTGGATAACAAGTGGCATAGTCCACCATGGTGAGAATATACTTCTTACCGGATGGACTAGCCCTGGCCAGTGGACCCACAATGTCAACGGCTATGCGGGAAAAGGGTTCCCCAATGATCGGTATAGACATAAGCCTAGCTTTTAGGTGATCCCCCCGCTTTCCTACCCGTTGACATGTGTTACAAGTACTACAATATATCCGCACATCTTGGTTAAAATTAAGCCAGAAGAAATTCTGAGTGATCCTGTGTGCTGTGCGGCGGGACCCTAGATGTCCACATCATGCCCAATCTGCAGAATCTCCTGCCGGTATTTCGCAGGCACCACCAGCTGCCGATTCTGTGGAGGGGCAGCCCTTTTCTAGGAAGGTTTAGGGATCCTATACAGCCTGTCCCCCACCCACTCATAACATTCCCCATCTACCCCCTCTTCCCTAGCATGTGCCCTAGGCCTATACTTCTGAAGGGTCGGATCCTCCTGGGTTTCCCTCCCGAACGCCTCTGGGGTATACCAGCCTAAGGGGGCCTGATCTAGGGTACAAGTCGGGGGAGAGAGTCTTACCTGGGTCTCAGCAGCAGACGGCCGGTCTCGGCGGCACGGGTCTGGGCACGGGTCATCACAGGGTTAACCTCAGCCCGTCTGGGCGTATGCAGAAAAAAGGGGGGCCAAGTCATTTCCAAGGAGAATGTCAGCTGGCAAATCCCTCATGACCCCCACATTCACATGTCTAGCACCCACTCCCCAATCCAAATGTACCCGGGCAACAGACAGGCGGAACACAGCGCCCCCTGCTACCCTCACAGCCACAGTGTCTCCGGTGTGCTGGTTCTCGGACACCAAGTTCTTTTGGAGTAAGGTCATGGTAGTACCTGTATCTCGCAGACCACTGACCTCCTTCCCGTTCACTTTAACCAGTTGCCGGTGTTGTTGTCGGTTATCCCGGTGGGCAGCTTGGACGGGGTCTGCCTCGTGCAGGATGCCCCAACATTCCTCCTCCTCTACGCATTGGGCAGCAGGCGGAGGGAGGCGCTGGTTTCCGCTGGTGGGTCTCCTCCAAGACTGGGCCTGGTTAGCGTTATTCAGCGGGCACTCCGGTCGTTTGTGCCCTAGCTGCTTGCACCCAAAACACCGGATGGGTTGTGAGTAGTCCCGTGAGTTGAACCGGGGTGGCTGCGGGTAGTTATTAGCTGGAGAGGGTGCTGATGTGCTGTGCGTCGGCGGCTGGTAGACAGTAGCTGCTTGAGGTGCTGCTGGTCGGTACTCAACTCTGGCAGGAGTCTTAACAATAGCACTGTCCAGTTTACCGGCATCCGTGTACTCGTCTGCCAGGTGAGCTGCTTCATGCAGGGTGGAGGGTTTACGGTCCCTTACCCACTCTCTGACGCCTGGGGATAATTTCTCAAAACAATGCTCTAGCAGGAACATCTGCAGCACCTCTTCCCCGGATACGGCTTGACACCCCGCAATCCTTTGAGTGGCTGTGCGGTGTACTTTACATGCCCATTCTACGTAGGAATCCCCTGCTAGTTTGGCGGTGTCTCTGAACCGCCTCCGGTATGCCTCAGGTGTAACGGCATACCTGGAGAGCAAAGTTTCCTTTACAGCTACATAATCCCCGATCTCCTCATCAGGAATGGCCCGAAAAGTGTCACTGGCCCGGCCGGATAACTTTCCGGACAATATAGTAACCCAGTCTTCTGCGGGTACCTTGTGTAGCGGACATTGCCGCTCAAAATCAGCAAGGTACCCATCAATCTCTCCTTCTGTTTCAATGAAGGGTTTAAATGCTGCAAAATGGACCTTTTTCTTTTCCACCGGGGTTACTGTGACTTGGGCTGCTGCAGCGCTGCTTTGGCGAAGTATGCTGGCCTCCACAGCTGCTATGACCCAGTCGATGATCTCTGTAGTCAGGTTGGGGCCATAATGTGCCAGTCTTATTTTAACCGCCCGGTCAAAGCTTGCCTCTTGGGGGTTCTATCTGGTATGCTGGGCCTATTGGCTCCCTCAGCCCCTGATACTTCATCGATTTCGTTCCATATGGCAATAATCTCCCTCTTCTTGAGGTTACTGGCTTGTCGGCCCCGTTGTTCCAGCAAGTCTTTAAGGGTAGCTCTTTTCAGCCTTACATACTGTACTTCCATTAGTTCCGGATGTGTAGTTGTCTCTCTGGGCGATGAGAACCATCCCGTCGCTTGCCACCAGTTGTTACGGCATAACCCAGGTATCGTGGAAGAAATCCAATTATCTCCATGGATAGAGGCAACACGCCATTTTACATGAGACAATAAAAATACATAAAAATCAATAACTGGAAAACTACCGAATACATTCAGTACATATAACGTATCCCCAGATAGCCTAGATCTGAATGCACATTATTTACTGAATGGCGCTCAGATCCAATACACACAGTTCAATCGACATGGAGCCAAAGTCTTTCACTCTGTTCTTTCGGTATACGAATGGCTCCATGGGATGGCTATCTGGGTTAAGTCCATTCTAGAAATAAAAGTCCCGAACGGACCGGCGTTCGTATGCTAGATGACAAAGAAGGGAGGTCGGCGGTTTCAGTGGTGTTCGGGAGAAAAAGTGTCCATTTTGGGTTCCATAAGATAGAAACATAGAAACATAGAATGTGACGGCAGATAAGAACCATTCGGCCCATCTAGTCTGCCCAATTTTCTAAATACTTTCATTAGTCCCTAGCCTTATCTTATAGTTAGGATAGCCTTATGCCTATCCCACGCATGCTTAAACTCCTTTACTGTGTTAACCTCTACCACTTCAGCTGGAAGGCTATTCCATGCATCCACTACCCTCTCAGTAAAGTAATACTTCCTGATATTATTTTTAAACCTTTGTC